ACATATATATATATATATATATATATATATATATATATATATATATATATATATATATATATATATATATATATCTTTCTTTTTATGTGCCATGTCCTTTCAGATCCTAGGCAATCATGGCTCTCCACCTCCCTCTATCCCTTGCAGCTCTCAACTCGTTCCTTCCCTCTGCCACCCTCCCCCAGATCACGTTCTGTCATCGACTTGCTCAAGCCCGCCAGGTATGTCACGCGCTGATTTCCCTTGTCTCTCTTTCCCTTTATTCGACCTGTGAGTATCAGATTCTCCAGGCCCTCCTTCCTCATTATATGTCCCATAAACTTCAGCTCCTTCTTCCTGATGTTAAGTATAAGCCTTCCCCTTTTGTTTATCAATTTCCGTAACTTAATATAAATCTGTTTGAAGCTTTATTTATTCTTGCTTGAAATAATGTCTTGATTGAATAAAAAGCCTGCATTTTCGACTCAGGTTACGAGCCAAGATTCTAAATAGAGTTTTTTAGGTGTGGAGGTGAGTTAAAAAGACGTGTGAAAACGTGAAATTGAAATACATACATTAGCTCATCAAATGAAAAAGAAAACTCTTTGATAAGGGTTTATCAACCTCGGAAGCATTCAGAAGACATTGACCAATTTATGTTCAAGCTCTACCTGGAAAGCAGAAATAGTGGCAGTCCCCAATTCATTTTACACTTTCCCATTTCTTTTTATTCTAAGCATTAGCATATATTTTAGTACATACATATATATATATATTATGAAATGGAAAAAGTCCGACAATTATTTTAAGACATTTTTTAGTTTATACATTCTTTTTATAGATACAAATATTTAAGTAAATGCTCTGTTTATAATAAACAGCATTAAACAACATTTACCGGCTTGAATGTCCGAGAAATTTTCACAGAAAATATTCGTCCTCCGACAGGATTCGAACCTGTATCCTATAATGAACCGTCATATAGCCTGACGTGATTTTACCGATTTCGCCACAGAGGAGCGTTTCAATTAGCAAGGTCAATTTCACTGTTTTTAAACTACAATTCTCCATGAATCTCTCACGTACATTCATATCTGCTCAATGCGTATCCAAATGTAAACAAATGACGCCACACATTATGAAATGGAAAAAGTCCGACAATTATGTTTAAGACATTTTTATGTTTATACATTCTTTTTATAGATACAAATATTTAAGTAAATGATCTGTTTATAATAAACAGTATTAAACAACATTTACCGGCATGAATGTCCGAGAAATTTTCATAAAAAAATTTCGTCTTCCGACAGGAATCGAACCTCTATTCTACACGGAACCATCATTTAGCCTGACGTGCCTTAACCGATTCAGCCACAGAGGATCGTTTGATGAGCAAGGTCGATTTTACTGCTTTTAAACTTCAATCTTCCATGAATCTCTTACGTACATTTATATCTGCTCAATGCGTATCAAATGTAAACAAATGACGTCACACATTATGAAATGGACAAAGTCCGACAATTATTTTTAAGACATTTTTATGTTTATCTAAAAATAAAAAGAATGTATAAACATATAGTTTTAATATTTGATATTATTAGGATCCACTTTGATTATATACCAACGGATTTATTACTAGCAATATATATATATATATATATATATATATATATATATATAATTATTTATTTCAAAATATGATTCCATCGCTACATAAGAGTTCTCATGCTTCAAAACAAGAGCCGAAAACTTCAATTATTTGAATTAAATTGAATTAAAGTACCAAGCTCTGTTCCATCTTCAAGCGAAATTTTTTGGAATAACTAATTTCAGATATGTACGCGTTTTCATAAGCATATTTATTATTAAAATTAAAATTACTATTGTAACGGCTAGAGCAATTATTTAAAGAAAAGGAGGCGTAAGGTGTTAATAATTTGTATCAATATCTCGGTTACATTCAAAGAGGTCAAGTCAGGGTAAGGTTGGGGTGTCGAAATTTAAAGCGGAAGATGACATCGTCTAGTCTGGTTAAGTGTCTATGGAGATTTATTTATTTATTTATTTTTTTTTCCTGAAAGGGTTTTTGTGTGTGTGTATATATATATATATATATATATATATATATATATATATATATATATATATATAAACACATAATTGTTTAACGTTTGTTTTTTTGACAACTTCATAAAAGCTTTTTTTTTTTTTACAAACAGCTATTTTTAAAAATAATAACAAAAATACTAAAGAACTTTTGCATTATTTACCCTAACGAGTTCTTTCCTATTTTCTATATATTTTACACACACTCACACACACACACACACACATATATATATATATATATATATATATATATATATATATATATATATATATATATATATATATATTACCAGTAATAAATCCGTTGTTATATAAACCAAGTGAATCCTAATAATATCAAATATTAAACTGATCCACAAAAGAGCTCAATGTATTTATTATAACAAAGAATATAAATTACACAACAAAGTCC